GAACCCATGTCCCCTGCATTGGCAGGTGGATTCTTAACCACTGCACCACCAGGGAAGCCTCTGAATAGTTTTTTGATGCCTGTGAGTGTACCTCTTTCCTCACCTACCCTGAACACTAGGTGTTATTTTTGAAACAAGTGTACCATGCAGGTGAAAAGGATGTAGGATGGAGATTTATCTGTATATCTCCATATGCCTTACCTGAGTTTACATTTATTTGTGTCGAGCTCAGGGTCCTCTCTAAGTGTGCTTCTTGACCATTTGTATTTTTCTGTGAGCTGCTTATCCATGTGTTTTCCTTGGATGCTTAATCACTCAGCATGCCTTTAGTAGCTGCAGAATATCGAGGAGATGGTGTAAATTGGTACCTTTGTAATGGAGAGGTTTTATTGGTTGTCATTATCATTTGCTTATTGCTTATTGTGACCACAGTCATGAGAAGAGGAACGGAGAACTCATTCTTCAATTAATCATCTCATGTATCTGTTCATGTTGTAAATGTCTCAGGCACCTGGCAGCGTCAGTGGCTGGCAAGGAGCCTGTTCTGGAGCTGATATTCTCAAGGCAAAAGGGGCACCTGGACCAGCTTAGATGGGGCTGGCAGGGGAGGGCTCTGAGGAGGTGGTATTGGACCCAAATGTTGAGGACAGCTAGCCAGTATGATCTGGGTGGCAGTGGTGGGTTGGGTGGGTGGGGTGTCTTTCCTCGGAAATTCCAAGTGTAAAGGCTTGAGTTGGGAGCGGACTTGATCTTGGAGGGGCCAAGCACAAGGGGCCACGTGGCTGGAGATTCCAGAATGAGGCAAGGAAAGGTCAGCTGTCTCATTGGGTTTTTTTTATTCTGGGGAACTGGATGCCCCTGGATGGTTTTAGGTGGAGGAGTGATGTTTGCTTTCCTTGTTTAAGGCGCTGTCCCGGCTGCTGGGTGGAGGTGCCCTGGGAGGGGGTGCTGTGGCAGGTGGTAGGGGACCTGTGGGGGGAGCTCTTACAGGGTCTTTGTGGGAACTGATGTGTTAGGGCAGTGTTTCCCAAACCTTTTCTTCATCATCACCCCCGAAGGAGCCCTTTTAGACACTTTCTTCTTTTCTTCTTCTTCTTTTTTTTTTTTTTGCGGTACGCGGGCCTCTCACTGTTGTGGCCTCTCCCGTTGCGGAGCGCAGGCTCCGGACGCGCAGGCTCAGCGGCCATGGCTCACGGGCCCAGCCGCTCCGCGGCATGTGGGATCTTCCCGGACCGGGACACGAACCCGTGTCCCCTGCATCGGCAGGCGGACTCTCAACCACTGCACCACCAGGAAAGCCCCTAGACACTTTCTTCTTAATTGTCCTCCCGTGAATATTTTTTAAAATGGAGGTGAGAGCCACATAACAGAAAATTAATCATTTCAAAGTAGACAGTTCAGTGGCATTTAGTACAGCCACAACACTGTGCATCCACCACTCTTACCTAGTTCCAGGACATTTCCATCAGCCCAGAGCAAAACCCTGTACCCACCAAGCAGCCACTTCTCATCCCTGCCCCCTCTCCCACCCCCATCCCTTTGCTCCATCACTGACCCCTGGCAGCCATCGATCTGCGTTCTGTTTGTATGGATGTGCTCAGTATGGATATTTCATTTCAGTGAAATCCTATAAAACGTGACCTTTGTATCTGGCTCCTTTCACTTAGTGTGGTGTTTTCAAGGTCACCCACATTGCAGCATGCATCAGAACTTCATTCCTTTATACCAGGGCTTGTCTGTGTGTTGATGGACACTTGGGTTGTTTCCATCTTTGCATTATTGTACATAGTGCTGCTTCGAGGATTTGTTTTGAGTATAGGTTTTCACTTCTTTGGGGTCTATACTTAAGAGTGGACCCTCATGAACTTTAAACGTATTGTGTGTCCTTTTACGTACAGCATGTGTGCTTTATTTATAAAAAGAGTAAGATTTTTTTCACCCCCTAAGATCTACTTTCTGCCCCTGGAGGGTGATAGCCCTGGAGATTGGGATGGAGGTGAGTGCGAAGATTTGGGTGTATTTTGGAAGTGGTGTGCAGAGGACTCGCTGAAGGGCTGGGTAGGCTGAGGCAGGAGAGCAGAGGAGGAATTGAGACAGTGTAGACGTGTTTGGCCTTGAACAACTGGGTGAGTGGTTGTGGGGAGGTCAAGACGGACACAGGTGTTTCACAAATTGGGGAGGTGGGGTAGGTGGCAGCCAGGGATGGGCACTGGCCATCACTTTCTCAGAGGCGAGTTCTGCAGTGTGGGTTGCTAGGTGATCCCGAGGTGCTGTCCTGGTCCTGATTACGTGAAGCACTGCAGTACCAGACGCCAGTGAGGGTGGCCCCTGCCCTTTGCTGGCTGGGTGGAAAGTGAACCAGACCCGTCTCCATGGGAAACCGGTGTTCACGTATCCAAGTGCTGTATTTCAAATTTTTAAAAAATTTAGAACGTGTCTCTTGAACCTTCAATACTTAAGTTTTATTAACAAAGGAAACGTTATATGTCTATGAAATTGAAGGCTTGTTGTTCCAGTTATTATTATTATTATATATATATTTTTCTGCGGTACGCGGGCCTCTCACTGTTGTGGCCTCTCCCGTTGCGGAGCACAGGCTCCGGACGCGCAGGCTCAGCGGCCATGGCTCACGGGCCCAGCCGCTCCGCGGCATGTGGGATCTTCCCGGACCGGGGCACGAACCTGTGTCCCCTGCATCGGCAGGCGGACTCTCAATCACTGCGCCACCAGGGAAGGCCCCAGTTATTATTTTTTAACTACACGAACATATACATATGTATAAGAAAACTAATGACTCTCCCTGTGTTCTTGGTAAATTCCTTACATGTCTATGAAATTAAAGGCTTGTTGTTCCAGTTATTATTATTTTTTAACTACATGAACATACATATACAGAACTATAAAGCTAATGGCTCTCCCTGTGTTCTTGGTAAATTCCCTGCAGGCCCACAGCGGGGGGTAGGGCTCTGCTAGACCACCTGCCAGCCTCTCCTTCTTACTATGTAACTTGAACTGTTAAACAGGGAAACGTGGACTCCCTTGCTTGAGTTCTCTGTGTGACCCCGCACCTTTGTGTGGTTTTGGTTCCTGCTACCCTTGAGGGTTAGTCTTCCTTGTCAAAGTTCCCTGCAGCCCCAAGCAGTGCTTCTGCTAGTATGCTAAGACCCTCCCTGCGAGAACCACTTGCTAGTTTGCTTAAGGGAATACAATTAGACTCTGGTCTTTAATCCTTGTGGAGGGAATACACTGCACTGATCTTTTCAGCCACTGCAGATCTCTTTTGGAAACAGAACATAAATGAATGAATAATAATTAAAAATCCTAATACTAAAGATTTTATCGGTGATACTTAAATCTTTTGAAACACCTTTATTTTTCTATTTATCTTTCTATTTATTTGTTGGCTGCGTTGGGTTTTTGTTGCTGTGCGCGGGCTTTCTCTAGTTGCGGTGAGTGGGGGCTGCTCTTCGTTGCGGTGCGCGGGCTTCTCGTTGCAGTGGCTTCTCGTGTTGTAAAGCATGGGCTCTAGGTGCACAGGCTTCAGTGGTTGTGGCACGTGGGCTTCAGTAGTTGTGGCTCACGGGCTGTAGAGCGCAGGCTCCGTAGTTGTGGCACATGGGCTTAGTTGCCGCACGGCATGTGGGATCTTCCTGGACCAGGGCTGGAACCCGTGTCCCCTGCATTGTCAGGTGGATTCTTAACCACTGCGCCACCGGGGAAGTCTCATGAATTATGTACTTTTATTAATCCTTTTGTATTATGTTATTAGTATTCCTCTTTGTAGCTATCAGGAAAGGAGATTCAGAGACGTCAGGTCACTTGCCCAAGGTCACATAGCACGTCCACAGAGCTGAGATTTGAACCTCTCTTTTGGCTTCTGATCCATGCTTTAATCCACTTCTCCCTACATGTAGAGTCTTTCCCACTCTGTTGCATTAAAAATAGTGTTGGCAGGTCCTGGCGCTGGAGCTGAGGTTAACTCATGTATGTTGACTAGCTGAGCTGGTATAGAGTTTTAACCCATTGAATCCTCACTCTGAGGATCCCCATTTGGCAGATGAGGAAACCAAGGCAAGAACCCACCAGCGTGTCCAAGCACTTGTGAAGTCCCTGGGACGTCGCGAGTCGAACCCCATCGCCATCAACAGCTTTCTTGAGGTTTCTTGCACATCTGAGGGGAGCTGGTCATTTGAATGCCTGTCACACGTTTATGGTAACAGGACAGCCCAATAATACAGAGCCCTTTCAGCAAAGGGGCAGTATCTAAAAGGTCTTTGGGAGGCCCCAGTTGGCCCATCTGAACACTTTGTTTTGTTAAATGGTTTGGTTTCTGTTCTCTCTTCCCCCACCTGCTCAGGGGAGCAGGAAGTTGGGAGTTTTAAGGTATTTTTAAGACTCGGGCATAGGTACGACTCTATCCTCCTATAAAAGTTTGAAACCCAGTAAGGAGGGAGGTAATTTACCAACAGCGCCCTCACTCCATCTGTTGTGGAGTTTGGCTTCGTTCAGCATTGCAGGGCCTTTGAAATGAGAAGCCTACGAGCTCCCAAGGGGTGGAGCTGGCCCCTGGCAGGTGCAGTGGCTGGGTGAACCGGCCCCTGTGTCTCCCACAAATGGATGACATGCCATTTGTAAGCTTGGCTCTGGTCTCTGCATCTGGACCGAGGCGGGGGCTGGTTTAATCGCTGTTTGTTTTGAGATTTACACCCATGAATGGGCCAAACCAATTTCAGTGGCAGCTTAGCCGATTTGTCTTAGAGCTTTGTGTTTAATAGAATGACTGGGACAGCCTTCTTCCTTCGTGGCTTTAACATCGGGTTAAAGCCCTTTGCTTGAAATACATAGCCAGCCCTTCCTGCTCCAACCCCCTCTGTGGTGCTCTGGCGGCCTGGTTGAAATCAAATAGAATTTCTGTACTCTCCTCCCTGCCCCACACCTACAAGCTGTATATGTTTCTTTCTTTGTAAATCTGTCTTTTAATGAGTAACTTACTTTTTCAGCTTCACCAGCCTCCACCAAGACGGGACAAGCGGGGAGTTTATCCGGCAGCCCGAAACCTTTCTCTCCTCAAGTATCAACACCAATCACGACGAAAACGGACAAGACGTCCACCACGGGAAGCATCCTGAATCTTAACCTGGGTCAGTTGGAATTTTGGGAAGCCTCTTTCCGTAGCAGCTATGAGTATTTCTGCAAGTTGTAATGTCCTCTTTTGTGTGTGGTTCTTTTTTTTTTTTAAAAAAAAAAGATTGGTATTTTTATTTTTATTTTTTTTGGCCGCACGGCTTGTGGGATCCTAGTTCCCTGACCGGGGATCGAACCTGTGTCCTCTGCGTTGGAAGTGTGGAGTCTTAACCACTGAACCTCCAGGGAAGTCCCTGTGTGTGGTTCTTGAACCCTGAACTCTTTTCTGTGTACAGAATTTTGAAAAGGTACAGTGGTTGGAGATGAAGAGAGATCAATACAAGGAACTAGCAAGGGATTTCCCAGAGCTTGTTGACATGCAAGGCTGTTTTATCTTGAAATACCTTAGGCCAGTGTTTACAACCTTACTTGCCCTGGACCACAGAAACCCAGTTTTTATATTTGTAAATATATATATTTAAAGTTATATATATATGTATATATATATAAACACACACACACAGAGTATATATTGTTTTATGGTTCAGTATTTACTTTTCTTATGTATAGTGTGTTCTGACATATTGTTTTAATTCTTTTCTTCTGTTTTTTTTTAATGCTAGTCTTCATCCTTGATGTAGTAGTTTTTTGTTTTTTTTTTTTAAACTCATTGAGTTTCAGTTGGTTCTTTTGAAAGCATTACCTTAGGCCAAAGTCTTTAACAAAAATTAGCACCAGAAATGCTAAACACCCAACTAGGAAGCTATTTTATTAAGTCATTCAGTCATGAGCCCTGATTTTTATTGAGCATCTATTATGTGCTGTGCACTGTTTTAGACCTGGGGCGGACAGTGGTGAGTGAGGGCCCTGCTCTCTTACACAGCTTGGTTCTAGAGAGGGAGAAATAATAAGCTAAAAAAAATAAGAGAGGTCATGTCATCATGGAAGGTAAAAGGTATTCATATGACAAGGAGAGAGCTGGGCAGGATGGGGGTGGGAGGAGCAAGAGGCAGTGGTTAGGGAAGGCCTCTGAGGAGGTGATACCTGGCCAAGGATTTGCATGACAAGAAAACCCAGCCATGTCGGTGTTAAGAGAAAGAACATTCTAGAAGGAACAGGAAATTCAAGGCCTTAGGGTCAGGATGAACTTGGTGTGTTATAGGAATGGCAAGGAAGCCTGGGTGACGTGTCCTAGTGGGTGAAGGGGAGATGAGGCCAGAGAACACAGGGACCTCATGAACCTTGGTGTGGGACCATTTGATCAGAGGAGGGATGTGAACTGACTGGGCATTTTGGAAGGACCTCTCAGGGTGTTGTGTTGCGAAGAGCCCGTGTCAGCCATTCTTAACCAGGGGCAGTTCCCCCGATGCCCCAGAGGACACTTAGCAGTGTCCAGAGACATTTTCGGTTGTTAAAACAGGGGTGGGCTCTTGCCACTAGCATCTAGTACAGGCCCCCCCCAGCAGAGATTTACTGGGTTGCACCTGTGTTGACAGATTTGGTTATGGCAGGAGAAATGGGAGCCAAGAGTTCAGCTTTCGATTCTGTAAGTTTGAGATGCCTGCTAAATTCCTAGGTGGAGAGGTCATGAAGGCAATTGGAGGCTGAGCCAGGCCAGGTCAGGGCAGGAGGTGTAATTCTGGGAATCTTGATTTATACGTGGGATTGGGTTCAAGCAGTAGTTCTCGTAACTCAGCGGAGGCAGAGAGTGGGGGTGCTGCTGGCATTCATTTAGTGGTTGTAGACCAAGGATGCTGCTAAACTTTCTGCAACGCGTGGGACAGAGCCCACCACGACAGAGAATTATCCAGCCGCAGTGGCAATAGTGCTGAGGTTGAGAGACCCTGGTCCAGAGCATAAAGAAGGAGTGAGGGGCCTGGGCCGCTTGCACATGTAGACCTCAGGAAAAGTGAGCAGAGGAGGCTGAGAAAGCGCAGGGGAACGAGGAGAAAGCAACACTCAGGGAGTGTGGCCTACTCCGGAGGCCTTGAGTATACCGGGTTTCAGGAAGGGAGGGGCGGCCACCCGTGTGGAGTGATGCTCCAGCCTGAATCCACAGCCTCTGGTGGTCACAGCCCTCTGGGTTCATCTTGTCCTGAGATGCCATTTTCAGATGGAGAAACAGAGCACTGGAGAGGCGACCCCAGGATCTGGGATTACAGAGCCAGAGGTGGCCGGGCTGGAGGGAGCCTGTGTTTCCATGGAGGCTGGTGCCTCATTTACCCAGGTCACCAGGTCATGCAGCCCGGAAGTGACGGGACAGTCCGGGTGGTGGCTCAGGTTGGCTGGTGGGAGTTCTTCACTTGAACCAACAGGGACCCATCCGTTCCCCCGGGGAACACTCATCGTTCTCAGCAGTGTGGTTTGCTTTCTCACACCCTCCTCCCACCTCTGCACCCCCGAAAAGAAAGCTGTACAGAGACGTTCTCACAGTCATGCTTCCTCTCTGCCAGTCATGTGTGGCAGGAGTAGCTCCTTCTGTAAACCGGGCTGTCCTTGGGCATCTGTGTGATGCTATGGGTTTTTCCACTTGGCTTGACCCACGCGTGGGAGTGAAAGGTTTTTCTCGTGGGGTGTTATTGGCGGTGGGCACGGCAGAGTACAAGGCTCTCCTGTGCAGAAGCTCCCCGCCAGCTCTTTCCATTCCTGGGACCAATGCCTCGTTTTGTCAGCGGAAACAAATGCATAGGGAATGTGGCGTTTTATGGGTAGGAATTTCAGTTACCCAGTGGCAAGAGGATCAGATAGGGATTGGTGAAAAGTGCCATGGATGGGTAGAAAAATAAGAAAGTGGAGGGAAATGCTGAATAATTCTCATGGGACTTGATGTCTGGCATCCATGTAACTACTTTGAACAGACAGAAATGAGACAGAGTGCTAGGGATCATAATGACATCATTATATCTAACAAAGCAGTGTTTCATTAAAAAAATAACTGGAAAAGGCAAAAATTACTGAGATGGAAAAAAGATCAGTGCTTGCTGGGAGTTGGGGAGGGTTTGACTACACATCACAAAGGGATTCTTTGGTAGATGGAATTGTTCTGCATTCTGTTTGTGCTGGTGGCTACTCGCATCTATGTAGGTGTTAAAAGTCATATATTCTCCAAAAGGTGAATTTTACTCTCTGTAAGTTAAAAGTATTAAAAAAATACAGTGACCTTCAAGGTAAGGTAATAACCCCATTGCACAGAGAAGCAAAGTTACCTACCCAGGATGAACACGTGGTTTGTGGTTGAGTTTGGCCTTTAGACTCGGGCTTGTCTGTGTGTATCTCGGACTTTTAACTGAGATACGAGAACTGAAATGCTGCAGGACAAGGGCGTGTTTTGATTTTCATGGGCCCTTGCCACTGTGCCTCTTTGTGCCGCTGGGTTAGTCTGCCCAGCTGTAGGGGTCAGCAGTCAGGTGAAGGTTTGGATGGACGGTCGCATGAAGGACAAAGTGCCTTTCTAAAGGAAGCAGCTCCCGCATGTTGAACCTGTGCTGTTCAACTCTGAATTTTCAAGAAAAAACAGAAATTCAGATTTTTTACGTGAACTCTTCTAGTTTTTAAAAGTTGACCGTCAGTTTCATTAAAAGCCTCTATTTGGGGGCTTCCCTGGTGGCACAGTGGTTGGGGGTCCGCCTGCTGATGTAGGGGACACGGGTTCGTGCCCCGGTCTGGGAGGATCCCACATGCCACGGAGCGGCTGGGCCCGTGAGCCATGGCCGCTGAGCCTGCGCGTCTGGAGCCTGTGCTCCGCAACGGGAGAGGCCGCAACAGTGAGAGGCCCGCGTTCTGCCAAAAAAAAAAACAACAAAAAACTACCTCTATTTGGAATTCCCTGGTGGTCCAGTGGTTAGGACTCGGTGCTTTCACTGCTGAGGGTGCGGGTTCGATCCCTGATAGGGGAACTAAGATCCCGCAAGGTGCGGGATCAAAAATAAAAAGTAAAAATAAAAATCTCTATTTAGGCCAAAGAAACAAGTACAACCAAAAATACAACCACCAGCCCATGGGCTTTACTCTTACGATTTACTTTGCTGCATGGCGGAGGGGAAGACCCTGCACGCCAACACACCGGGCCTCATTTGCTGTCTTGGGCCCCTTCTCTCTGCTCTAAAATAAGGAGCCAGGCTAGGTTCCGGCCCCCTTCTGTGCCTCTACGGCAGTTATAAAATAAGTCCCGAATAAGAATGAGTTTATGGCACAGGGGGAGAGGGGACCGGAGTGGTTCTCTCCTGTGTGCTTTCTCTGGGAATCCTCTCTCCTCTTCTCTCGCACACGGTGTTTGCTTTTGGCTCAACAAACGCAGCAGTTGAGTCGCCCTGTTAGTGACAGAAATGTGCCTTGATGCTCTGTCAGAGATGCCAACGGTGGAACGTTGTCAGACCTGAAGGCTTTCGGCTTGTTTATTCTTCCACTGTTGCTGTTGTCAGGCCTGCTTTCTTTTCTCTGCAGAAAGATGTCTAATGAAAAGCCAGTCTACCTGTAACCTCTGATCACCTGTCCCTGTGACCCCCTTATTCACCCCCAAAAAAGGGTGACCATTGTTGGGTCTTTTTTTTGTTTTGTCATCCTCTGTCCCTGTTGGCTCTTTTTTAGTCTCCTTGGGGAGCTCTTCTAGACATCAGCCTGGGTGATTTGGTCCCCATTTGGCAATGTCTAGACACCTGTTTATTATCCCAACTGGGATATGGGTGCTACTGGCATCTAGTGGGTGAAGGCCAGGGTTGCTCTCAAACATCCTACAGTGCCCAGGACAGCTCCCGGCCCTTACCCTGACCTCCCCACCCCCCAAAAGAAAGACTTATCCAGCCCCAAATGTCAGCGTTGAGAAGCCCCAAGAACACATATATTTGTATCTCTGTATTCCCTTTCCTTTTTTTCTCCCACACACCAATGCTAATGTCCTTTACTGATTATTTTCCTTTTCCTTAAACAGATGGGCTTTCCATATCACCACATAGAGAGCTCTGCCCCTGTGTTATTTTAGCAGCTGTATTTTTTTCCGTTTAAAGGTAAACTGTAACTTATTTATCCAGGCACCTTATTTATTGAGTAGTTTTCCATTTTTTTGCTGTTGGAAATAGCTGCAGTGAAGACCCTTGTGCCCACGTGGGAGTGAATCCACAGGATACATTCCTAGAAGTGGAACCTGACGGTCAGAGGCCATGTGCTGTTGACGTTTGGAGAGAGGCTGCTAGATTGCCCTCTGAAGGGTGGTTCTGATTCATGCTCCCTCCAGCAATGGAAGATCGTGCCTCTTTTCTCTAGTGCGGGTATTTTTTTTTTTTTATCCCCGGTTTCCATTTATAGCCTCAGCTGTCTTCATATCAGCTGAAAAGTTCAAAATGTTGGCAGCAAGGGTGGATTCCGCAGATATTCCCGATATAGAAGGGCAGAGGTGGAAGGAGTCCTGATAAGCTGCTAGGAGCTAAATGAGAAAGAGAAGCTCTTCTTTTCTCCTTGCGGAGGAGAGTCGAGTTCACACACAGCTGAAAGTTGGAGAAAGATAATTACATTTGGCTAAACTCCTAAAAGTCCGCTCCCAGGGACCTGATTATTAGCCCCCTCCCAGGCTTTCGGTGGTTTCTTCTTAGAATAAACGTTACGGTGGCTCATTGACCCGAGAAACCTTATTTTGTGAAATGAAATGCTTTACCTTCTTTTCATTCCTCTTGATTGTGAATATTCAGGCTTTAGGCTAAAGTTAAGAGATTGCATTTACTGTAGACCCACACCGGTATACATGCGTGTGCACACACACACTCGATTATTCTGGTGATGTGTAGATGTATTTTTATGATCCCCGAGGTTTAGGTACACAAGGGTTAAGGCAAATCGTGAGGCATTTCCTTTACTCACAGACAAGATTGGTCCAGTACAGGGGCTCACAGCCTTACCTGCCAATTAGAATACCTGGGGAACTTTTAAAGGGCCAATGCTCAGGCCTACTAACCCCTCGCCAGTGAATTCAGTCTCTGGGGGTGGGGCTGAGGCATCAGGATTTTTTTTTTTAAAGCTCTGGGCTGGGAGGGGAGCGATCTCAGTGTGCAACTAAGGTTAGCAGTCACTGGACTAGTACAGGGGCTGGCAAAATTTCCAGCCTGTGAACCAAGTCTGGCCCCCGACTTGTTTTTGTAAATAAAGTTTTATTGGAGCACAGCCACATCCATTTATTTAGCACATCATTTTATGGTTGCTTTTGCAGCAGAGCCTATACACCTGCAAAGCCTAATTTAATTTACTCTCCGGCCCTTTATGGAAAAAGTTGGCTGACCCCTGCCTGGTAGTCAGTTGTGCGTTTCGGTAACTGCTGTGTGGAATCTGTTAACCACATGAGGACAGGGTGTCCTCCTGTCACGTGGGCAGCACTGCCATCTCCTGCTACCCCCCTTCATGGGAAGTATTTTTGTGAGATACTTCTTTTCCAACTTTATGCTTGAAAAGGCTGCCTTTTCCCTCCAGAATGCAGTGTGCTTCCTCATTTCTGAGAGCAGAAATGACGAGACGGGCCTCCTGTCTTTCCCCTTCTACTGTCACGTTTGCAGCTCAGGTGTTGAAGTCCGTAAGTCCTGATCATACTGCTGTTTAATGGGATCTTCCCTTTTTTCTTTCTATGTTCCCCAGTCCTTCTCCTCTTCCTCCTTTTTCTGCTGTTTTATCCGTTTCACTCTCTCTGTTCTCTTTGTAAGGTGCTTCTCCAGTAAAATTGAATATTCTTCCCCTGTCCGAAATAGTTGTGCATTCAACCGTCCCCCCCCCGCAAGCATCTTCAATCCTGGCCTTGATAAGTTCTCTGAAGAGTCCCCGATCAGCACATGCGCACACACCAGACAAACACATGCATGCACATGCGCACACACGGGTATGTTTTTTAAGAGCCATTTCTTTAATGACAAGGATGGTGTCCCTGTTTGCTTTGAAAGCTCACTTTTGGTCTCCCTGGTGACGAACCGCAAGTGTGTTTTGGGGACAGGGCCCTTTCTCATCTTACCTCATTATGGTGATGAATGAAATGGGAGCGATTTGTGGCTCCACTCACCTATGAGTGAGTTGGGTGGGGCTTTGGGGAGACCTCTGATCCCCTTAAAGGAATGAATCTCCAGCGTGCGTTGTGAGAGCATGCGTCCCTTCCTGGGTGTAGGGCAGGGTGTGAGGGTCAGGTAGGGTGGGGAGAGTGCAGGCTTTGGAGGGCCTTTGCAGTCCAGCTCTCAGTCTGCATCTCAGTCTCTGTAACAGCCTGATGGTTTGGGGTGGAGGGTAGCAGGGGTGTGGAGAGAAGTTAGGGAGTGAGCTCACAGCTGGTAGAACCAGCTCACAGCTGGTAGAACCAGCTCACAGGTGTTTTATCTTTGTCCTTGATGGATGCCACATCCTTTCGGACCTGCTTTCTCGGATTGGCCAGGGTAGGTTGGACACCCGCATTCTCTGCTTGAGGGTCTGTTGGAGGGGATGCCAGGGCGAAAGACAGTCTCTCATTGCTTTCTGAGCCTTTGCAGTCACCGCCATTTGGTCCCCTTTTTTATGTTTTGGGGGCCACTAGAGGAGGCAGCAGAGGAGGTGGGGAAGGAATTCAAGAAGTGCAAGCTCACGGACCCTTTGGAACCTGGGCCAGTTTGGTCGTGCAAAGAACCCATAGCAGAAGTAGGGGAAGTAGGACCTCTGGGCCTGAGTCATTAGGCAGAGACCTTTGCCTGGGGTTAGAGTGAAGCAAGAAGACACAGGTTCATATCCAAGGCTAATCTGTTCCCCATTCCTCAGATAGATGCTGTGAGCCAAAGGGAGGTACATCACACTGGCTGGAGGGTCTGCCTATCTTGTGTGTTCTCTTTCTTTCTAATTTGAGCTCCAGACTAAGTCGACTAAGAATGAAGATTGAAGTCTCCATGGTAAACAAGGAGCTGGTTCTCTCTCTTATCAATGTGTTCTCTGCGAGAGGCTTGGCGCCTCTCGGATACAAGCCCTCTCTGATCTGGGCCTGGAATTCAAAGCAAACTGGCCAGACTCAGTGTCACTTTATCCGCTGCTGTTGAGATTGAACGTATTACTGTAACCTTTGGCTTTGGACGATCCATAATGATGCTGAGTGTCACAGACAACCAGCCTTCTGGCTGGGATTGTGCATTTTCAACGTGGAAAGCAGCCCAGGCGATGGTTCAGTAGAGACCTGCCAAATGTTCTCTCAGGCTCTTATCTCCAAGTCAGCCCAGGCCGTCGGGCAGATGAATGACAAAAACGTCTTAGGTTTTTTTCCCTCCCGGGCTCCTAAGTGTGTTTTTGAGGAGGAAGCTAAGTGATGAGCATTGTCCGCTCTTCCCTCCAGTGCCTGGTCTTACGAGGGTGTGATGGTGTCTTCCAGATCGAAGCAAGGCGGAGATGGATCTGAAGGAGCTGAGTGAGTCGGTCCAGCAGCAGTCGGCCCCTGTGCCTCTCATCTCTCCCAAGCGGCAGATTCGCAGCAGATTCCAGCTAAATCTTGATAAGACGATAGAGAGTTGCAAAGCACAATTAGGTATGTCTCTCGGTTTGCTTACCTCATCACCATCATTACTCTTTTTAGGGATGCCACCCGGATGAGATTAAAGCCCCATCCTGGCTGCCTTTTTAGCAGCTGGTTTAACCTTGAGTTGTTTGTTCAACAAAAATAGATTTCTACTCATGGCAGAATATTTCAGATTTGCTAGTTAATTGTTCAGAAGGGCTTTTTGAATTCCTCAGAGTGTATGCTTTGTGGCGGCCTGCCAACTCGAGGTGCAGGTTGTAAGGAAGTTTGGAAGCAGAAAGAGCCTCCTGAGCTTGCCTTTGTGCTTCCTCTCTGCTCACGTCAGTGTCTCCACTTCAGGGTCAAGTGTATCCCACAAATGTCCAACACAAACCCTCCCCCTCAAGGCTAGGCCGCTTCCCCCTCGGCACATCCATCCTGCTTCTGTATCTGTCGCCTCCCTTCCTCTTCCCTGTGCTGCTGCTTTCTTACACTGCCTACCTGAGTCCTGTCCCAAAGGCTGAGCTCGGGCATCACCTCCTCCAGGAAGTCTCCCCTGACTGCCCTCCCCATCTGCCCTCCTTTGCTACTTTATGTCTCTGAAACATCAGTGGTTCCTTTGTGTGGTGGTATCCCTCCCAAACTAGACTGGAAGCTCCTTGAGGGCAGGGAGGTTGCCTTATAAGGATTTGCCTTCTCCAAGGTCTTATACACATAGTAATGCTCTGGAATATTTGTTGAATAGGTAAATAAAGCCAAGAAGGTATTTATAAAGAAGTAGGGGCCAGCCGGGTCTCAGGAGAGAAAGCCAGTCCAAGGTGAGGTTTACATGTCAGTGGTTTCTCTGGACCTTTGGGTGAGAAAAGAGTTATAGTTGGGAGTCATCCAGGCTGTCAGAGGAAAGCATTCCTTGCTGGGTTGCTTGTTTGGATGAAATTTTGTAGGCCATTTAGACACCCCTCTTGGGTCCTTCCATGCAGCTGGTCTAACTCCTTGGTTTATTATTGTTAATAAGAATTTTAATATTTCCATTTACCGAGGGCTTCCTATGCCACAGGCACTGTGCATAGGTTGTCCTGGGAGGTCGATACTATTATCAACACCATTTTCAGGTGAAGAAACTGAGGCTCAGAGAGGTAGTTCATTCGTTCAGGGTCACACAGCTAATAAAAGCTGAGGAGCAGGATTTGAATTCATATCCTTTGGGTTCCAGTACCCAAGCTTTTCCTATCACATGTGTGGTCATGCTTGTCCTGGCATCCGACCATTAGTTAACAGTCGCCTAAGCCCTAGGATCCAGAAATTAAACCAGATCTGGGTTTTTGTATTTTGATTCTTTCAGTTTTGACTGAGCCCTGGAGGAAGTGGGTATAATTCACTCATGATCCTGCGGGGCTGTTCATGGCTCTTACCCTTTTAAGAGTTTCCCTTCCGTGTGTCTGGGTCAGGATAGTGACCCCACTCACGATAACCATTGCTCTAGAATGAGGGAAACACAGAGTTGATGGGGATTTCCTCTTTTAAAAATTTTAGCGTGTAGTAGTATTTACCTACAGACGGATGACACCCATTACCGAGAGCAGGAAACATAAATGGGTTAAATGGAACTGTTGTTAGAATATACTTTTGCCCATTTTTGTCTGTATATGTATGAAACTCCTGCTGTTTTATCTTTTTCCCTTTTGATAGAGACATGGAAATGGATGACTTTCCTCTTGACTCCATTGCATGTAGAAGAACAATGCAAACACAGTGATAGTTGACTCTGCCTCAGTTCAGGGAGCAAGATGGGGACCGGGCAGCTGGGTCACCTGTAGGCAGTGCTCCCCCACCTGAAGGGGCCAGTGGCTCTCAGCCCCAGCGAGCCTTGCAGGCCTGTGACCCAGAGAGGCCAGATCTTCTGCTGTTTCAGCACAAGCCCGCCATCTTGATTTCTGTGAAATTTCCTGATTTGTGAATTGGCCAGCAAGTTCTAAGTTTAAAAAAAAAAAAAAGCCAACAAATAACAAAATACTCAAAAGCATTGGGTCAAACCATTGCTTCCTAAATAACACGTCTGCTTGCCAGATGTGGCTCATGGGCTATGAGTTTGCAACCTCCGCTTTAAGGCTTTGGTTTATTTCTTTGAGTCCTGGACACAAAGGGTAAAGGACTTTAACGCTTCGGGAATTTGTGGGAAGAGTGTTGGTGGCGAGTCAGGAGTCCAGGGTTCTGGCCTCGCTTCTCTGTCTTGGTTTTCTTTGTGTCCTAGAACAAGTGATTTCTCTGGGTCTCTATTTTCTAATCTGTAAAATGGATCTGTTTTAACAGCACAGGTCTGGCATTCCTTCTCTTCCATCCCTCCCATTGTCAGTATCCCAGTGAGTTATCCATAATGCAAAGATTGAGCTCTGGATAACTTCGAAATTCATGTTGTTTGGTCCCATGTCATCTTTGAATGTCAATAACTAAAACCCTTTGCAGACAAGTTCCATTTGTCGGCTGTCGTCAGCTGCAGCTTGAGCGCACTGCTAACCCCACCAGGCCAGTGTGATGCGATTTGAAATGTTTTTTTTTTTTTTTATTCCAGCGTTGGGCGTGGAAAATGGTTGTGATTTTTTGGTCCTGCTCTTTATTTTGTGAGTACGCCACATGCTGGGTTTTCTTTTTGAATTTAGGCATAAATGAAATCTCAGAAGATGTTTATACGGCTGTAGAACACAGCGATTCTGAGGATTCCGAGAAGTCAGATAGTAGCGGTAGTGACTCTATCAGTGATGAGGAGCAGAGGTCCAAGAATGAGCCGGAAGATGCCGAAGACAAAGAGGATGCTCAGATGGACAAAGAGCCATCTGCTGTCAAAAAAAAGCCCAAACTGGCAAACCCCATGGAGACAAAAGAGGAGCTGAAAGTCAGCACGTCGCCAGCCAGCGAGAAAGCAGACCCAGGCTTGGCCAAGGAGAAGACTAGCCCTCAGCCTGACAAGGACTTTTCAGACAAAGCAAAACCCTTGCCTCATCCCACAAAGGATAAGCTGAAGGGAAAAGATGAGACGGATTCCCCAACAGTGCATTTGGGCCTGGACTCCGATTCAGAGAGCGAACTTGTCATAGATTTAGGAGAAGACCATTCTGGGCGGGAGGGTCGAAAAAATAAGAAGGAACCCAAAGAACCGTCTCCCAAGCAGGAGGGTAAGTGATTGTACCCGTTTCTGGTTTCTTGATTTGGTTTTAGAATGCCACCTTGCAATTTGTGTTATCTCAAGTCAGGTGACCCTCTCACATCACAAAGGGTGGCGTAGCAAAGCTCCAGGTCACCTAGCTAGTTACTGAGCTGGACCAGGACTTAAACTAAGCCTGCCCACCTTTCACCTGCTCAGCACCCGATGTGGCTGATTTTGAGCACAGAAAAATAAGTCTCTTAGAAAGTAGTTGCTTCTAGCTGTTAGGTCATTTTTAGCCTCAGCAGCTTCTTTTCCAGTAGGCTCACTCATTTCCCTAAAGTGTTTGTCAACATTTAGACATTTGACAAGGCTGAAATTGTTAGAAGTGTTCAGTTGGAAGATCTTGATAAGTTTAGCCTCCCTTACCTCCCCTCACGTTGCCCAGGCATCTCAAAGTGCTTTTTCTTACCAGAATACAAGACCATTTGGGTAGGTGGCACCAGAACGCTGAGTTCTTGAGCCACTAGAAATCAGAGGGGCGTTGTATGATGCCTGCCTGAGTTGGTGTTCCGCCATATTTGCGATTAACAGACATGGGCCCAGGGTTTCTCAGCCTTGGCACTGTTGACATTTTGTGCTGGATAATTCTTTGTCCTGTGCACTGGAGGATGTTTGGCAGCATCCCTGGCCTCTTCTTACTGGATGCTGGTAGCACTTGCCCAGTGGTGGCCATCAAAAATGTCTTGACATGGCCGGATGTCCCCTCGGGGGCAGAATCTCCCCCAGTTGAGAACCCCACTGCCTGAGCTCAGCAGTTCTCTCTTTGCCGCTGAACCAGTAGTGGCTGCCCTCAAACCTGCTGCAGCCCAGGCATGTCGGCAAACCCTCCAGCAGGAACGTGGGAATGATTTGAAGGATGTCCCTCCCATTGAAGAAGCAGTCAGCACATTTTTCAACTGGTTTGGCTAGTGGGTGGTGAGGGGATTCCAACAGGCCTGAGAAAGATAATGAAGAATTAATTAAGGGCCAGGAGAAACATGGCCTAAGGACAAATTAGAGGTTGTAGCCATAAAACCTCATGGACTTCGGGAGTTACTTAAGGGGGTATTCAGGTTTAATTTTTGACTATGCTTAACTTCTGACAGGAGCTAACTTCTGAGTTCTGTATATCCCCTGGGGATTTCTTAGGCTGGCTTGCTTAAAGCAAGAGGGGGATGGGCTTTGAGAATCTTTCCTCTGTGTTTGTATCAACGTGACCTGTTCCGGAACCTCAATTCCTGCAGTTCATCAAAAGAGGATGGAATGTCTCTCAATGGTACAAGGGAGGAAGAGAGAGAGGCAGTTGGGTGGGACAGGAAGGATGGCCCACCACACCATCCTTTAGAATTATGAATGGCATCTGAAAAATCCGATTCTTTTGTGGATTGGGGTTTGAGGGACCACCTCAGGTGTTGCAGAAAACAGTAGGAGTAGCATTTATTCCACGAGGTTTGTGGGAATATTGGGGCACAGATGGCAGTGTTCCTGTGAATGATACATTTATGCTATTCCTCTCTTTCTGGAGTAGATCTTTTTTTTTTCTTCTTTTTTTGCGGTATGCGGGCCTCTCACTGTTGTGGCCTCTCCCGTTGCGGAGCGCAGGCTCAGCGGCCATGGCTCACAGGCCCAGCCGCTCTGCGGCATGTGGGATCTTCCCGGACCAGGGCACGAACCCGCGTCCCCTGCACCGGCAGGCGGACTCTCAACCACTGCGCCACCAGGGAAGCCCTGGAGTAGATCTTTTGATTGGTTGTGGTTTTTTGCCCCTTCCAGAAAGAATTTGTGACAGATTGATAAGAAACGAAATGAAAATCAAGAAATCAGTGTAAAAGATGAAGGTAGAATAGTGAGAGTTCCGGGGAAAATTTGTATACAAAAATACATACTGTTCCAGCCTTCAGAGTTAGCAAAGTTGGGCTTCCATTTTGACTCTGAGCTCCCTAGCAGTCAAAGCAAAAAGGGAAACATATGAGTCCCTTAAAAGATCTCATGTTTTCCTCCAAAATAAAAAGCATTCCAATTGATTAAATGAAAGTGAGCTCTTCCTCCCACTGGTATCTGCAGGAAGTTTCTCCAGGAGTCCCCGAGTGTGTGGTGGACTTTTAAGCTGAAGACGTCTCTGAAACATAATTCAGAGCGGCTTCGCAGGGGTTGGGGCAAGACTGCCTAGTCTGAAATCCAGAGCCCCCCTGATGGTGGTTTGGGTCTTGAAGAATCAGCTTCGTGTCAGACTCTGCAGTTGAGCATCTTTTCAGTGATGTACTTTCACTTATGAGTTTATTAAGTGAAGGGCGTTTTGGAGAGTGCTTGGTGACCTCCAACTGACCTTCAGTTAGGAATGCGGCTTCTGCACAGAATATGAATCCTTAGATAGCAAAATGGCTTTTCTAGCTAGTGCTCTCCGAACAGAGGCCAAAGGAGCTCCCTTAACAACCTTTACTACGCTTACCCTGTAACATCAGTCATTTCCATCCTTCTCTTAAAAGTCGTTTTTTTAAGGTACAAGATCGTGACCAAAGTCTGGAATAAGTAGGTTAGTTTGATGGGGCCGCTTTTGGAGTGTTGGCCTTTAAGAAATTCACCCTTTTTGAGGCTACAGGTGATTATACACTCCCAATTTCTAGGACAAATGGAATTTTCCATGACCTTTACCCCACCTCCATAAACCATCAGAATCCTCTAGAAATTAAAATGTTTTAGTGTCTAAATGAATTCCCCCCCCCCCCCCCAAGAGTGCTTCGAGCCTGGAAACTTTTCAGATTGCACACTCCTGTTTTTTTATTTGGGAAAGAGCTCCAGCCGTGACTCATGCAGACTGGTTACCCATCTGCAAAGCCAGCTGTTCGCTTTTGCAAGACAGGAGAGAGAAAAGGACCTTTTTGCGGTTGCCCTTTGCCCAAGGAGGGACTAGGCTAGTTAATCAACCAGGACAATATATTTTTTGGTCACATGGCAGAAAAGGGAGGCATTAAAGTTGCTTCTGCAGGTTAGAAGCCCTGCCTGGGGGGACCCTCCCAGTGTAGGGCTTTTAGAAGGGCCAAGTTCAAAGCCACCTCTGCCCCGGGAAGGGGCAGGGGCTATATCCAGTATCTGGCAGGTCATCCTGGGGAAGGATGGGGGCTCCTCACTGCAGGTAGAGCTCTTCTCCCAGCCCACCCTGTGTTCCTGCCCATGAACTTGGCTGGACTCTTCCCCAGAGGAGCAGTAGAGCCAGCCAGGTGTGATAACCACCAAGAAGACACCCCCCACCCCGCCCCCCGAGTCAGAAAAGTCAGCCTGTCTTTTCCTCTCACACTCCTTGGTTTCCCCAAACCCACAGTTTACTGAAAATCCCCCCTAGAATAATCAAGCCCATGCCTTTCCTGGGTGATAGAAATCTAAAAAAGACAGGTGTAATCCTTATTAAAGAGTTTGATGTCGAGGCACATTGTCAAGATCAAGGGTGCTGATTTGCACCCGTGTTTTGTGTGTGAACCCCAGGGAATCCTCTCTGGGGGCAGGTTCACCTCTCCAGTGCCAGGGGCTGCTGCAGTGATTACTGACCACACACCCCTTTTACAGATGAGCACTCACGAGGTCACACCCCCTTCTATGCTGCTCAGTGCTTTTGGCTCTAACCTGCCTTCTTGCCACCCCTCCTCACTGCCTGCCCTCACTTACCAAAATGCTGTCTATTCCTGAGCATGTCTTGGCTAAAGCTGTTCCCCTCCAAATTCTCCCTGCTGCCTGTTGAAATCCTACGCTCCACCCCCATAGCCCAGCTCCTCCCAGGAGACATACTCTGAAAGGCAGCTTTTTTCAAACTTGAGTCACTCGCATTCATTATTTTTGCCATTCCTAAGTCCTGCCTGTATAATTACGGACTTAATATTTTTATCTGAAACAACAGCTCTTTAAAAAAAAAAAAAAACTCAATTTTAGACTTAAACTTGACCACCACACAGTAGGTAAGACAGTAGAGTGTGCTCTGCGTAAAAGACGCAGCAGGAATAACTACAGTCAAAACAAAAGCAAGGCATCTAAATTCTAGATAAATACCATTGTGCTGAGGAAGGTTCTGTCCTTGGGGTGGAATTCCCTTTAGTGTTAGGTGTCAAGGCTCCCAGGACCACACCGAGACTGTTCTGAAGGGAATCAGAAGAGATTAAAGAAGATACTCTTCTTTCTGGGTCACTTATTGTTATTCAGTGCTTTGGCCTATGGGAAGCCGTATGGTTCTTTGGGGTGCATGCTTTCTAGGTTCCCTGGCCAAAGAAAGCGTTTCTCTTAATCTCTGGATTGACTTTGGCTGGGTCTTTCTCAGAGTGCTTGCCCAACTTTAACCTTGTAAAACAAGATGCTTGCAGTGATTCTGTTCATCCACTGCGTCGTCTACTAGTAGGTGAGCAACTTGAGGGCAGGGGCTGGGTCAGGTTGGCCTCAGTCCCCCAGACGCCTTGACATACGTCTCAGATGTGAGCAAGTGCACGGAACACAAGGGGGCTGATGTTTTAAGATACAGCATGCTGCCGAAGTGGCCTGAGCGTATTGTGTAAGTGCCCATTCCCTGGGGGTCTTTGGCGTGCTAGCCTCTGATGGTCACCCAGAACTTGGTGGTGTAGAGACCCTGCAGGCCAGCCTGAGTCAAATCCACTTTTTGTTTGTTTGTTTTTTCACGCATTGGCTTTAGTCGTAGGTAAAGCTCCACCATCCACGACGGCGGGCAGCCAGTCTCCCCCCGAAACGCCGGTCCTCACCCGCTCTTCTGCCCAAACTCCCACGGCTGGTGTCACGGCCACCACCAGCACCACATCCACGGTCACGGCCCCGGCCGCCGCTGCCACAGGAAGCCCAGTGAAAAAGCAGAGGCCGCTTTTACCGAAGGAGACGGCCCCGGCCGTGCAGCGGGTCGTGTGGAACTCCTCAAGTAAGTTTCAAACGTCCTCCCAAAAGTGGCACATGCAGAAGATGCAACGCCAGCAACAGCAGCAAAACCAGCAGCAAAACCAGCAGCCTCAGTCTTCCCAGGGGACGAGATATCAGACCAGACAGGCCGTGAAAGGTACCGAGCCTCCCCTTCTGCTCTCCGTGGCGCCCGGTCCCTTTTTGGCCACATGGACAGGAGAAAAATAATCGTTTTATTTTTTCAGTTCCCCTTGGTTTCCTGGTTACTGTATCCTGGAGGCCTCACACATTCCATTTGGCATTATTTTTAAAAATTGTTTTCCAACTTGCTTTGTACTTTTCTTTTTTCTTTTTTTTTCTCATTTTATAAATACATGCATATGTTCTTCTTAGAAAGGGGTGAAATAGACACATAGACACAAAAATTTGTTGTCTTGATTGATTTGCCATTTCATTCTCCACCCTTTCTCAGAGGTCACTGTTAACCGTAAGATCTTTTTTATGCATGTATGCATATATATTTATGTATATATGTGACTTCATAAAGATATTACTTTTTTTTCTTTTTTCTTTTTTAAAACATAAAAATGGTACCATACTTGCTTTTTTCCGTGCCCCCCCTCCCCCATCAGCATGTTTTGGAGGTCTGTCCGTGTCAGTACATACAGCTCTACCTTATTCTTTTGGATTGCTGCATAGTATTCCACAGTTTATTCAAAGTATTCCCCTACTGATGGACATATAGGTTGCTTCCAGTTTTTTTCCTGTTGTAAGTAGTGCTGCAATGAATACCTTTGTTTAAGTTTCCTTGTGCACATCCATGAACCCCTGGACATTGTTTTGGAAAGAGTACAGTGTGAGAAGTTGGTAGCAAAGGTTACCTTAATAACTAGCGATTAGCCTCACACACAAGAAGAGCCAGCATCAAGAACCAGTTGCTGAAGTGCGGAATCATAGCTCCCGGCAGGAGGCTCCATCTGGAGCTGATGGAAAGCTGAACCGTCTGATGGGTACCAGTTGGCCCAGCTCTTGTGAGCACTGATGTAGAATCTTGTTCCCCTGGGAAACCTGCATCGAGATCCTTGAAGGTTGGGCTCCTTGATTGAAACTCCCACATGCTGAGTGCACCCCTGTGAGTAGGACTATTAAGAGAGTCGCAGCAGGACGTGGGGTTGAAGAGTAGCCAGTTCTTGAATTGGCTGCCGTTGAAACCCTTCAAAGATCGAGGGGAGGGCAGACTGAAAGATTGGACTCGCAGCATTGAAGTACAGCTGGATTGATCTCGCTGTTTGAAGGGTCGTTGGGACAGAACCGAGTCTAGGATATTTCATGTTGGGGTGACCAGTTCCGGTCTTCTGAATTCATCCCCCTTAAGCATAGTGAGCCTTCCCCAGGGGAATTTAGGTGCTGGCAAGAAGGAGCTCATTGATGGTGTGATTCTTAAATCCCAGGTTATCTTGTCAGAGATAAGCAAAGCTGGCCACTAGTTAAAGTAGTAAAGACAGATTTTAATCAGCTCTATACTATTGCAATAGGGCAAAAAGTCCAGTGTGAACTGAACATGTACACAGGGGACTGGGCGTTTTAAAGGGAGAATTCGGGAATAGGGAGGGGGGTGGGCGGAGGCTCTGAAGAGTCAGAAAGTGAAAATTTACATAAAGTGGGAAGGGGGTGTTGGTCCATTTGAAACATCTGGGTTTGCTAACTGGTACCTATTGAAGGTAGGCTCCGACCCTCCCACAGAGACTGGGAGATGGGCCCCATCATTAGGTGTTGGCTGGAATATACAGTCAGTTCATTCGGCAGCCTTGTGTTTTCTCAGTCAGGGACCTTAAGGGGGCAAGGGTCATCCTAGGGATGCAGGCTTGAGCTGTTAGAAACTATATTCGTCTTTATAGACCAAGGTGGAAGCCTCGTTGAGAAAGAGCTCAGAGGAGCCTGGCTAGGGTTTGGCCAAGGAGAGAGTCTTTGTGACTTGAAAGTAGATAAACTCGCAGGGTGTTTTGTCAGAGGCTCTGCTCCCCACCACAGTTTTCTACTGGGATGGCCTTCCCGTGGCAGTGGGATGACCAGGACCCTTTGCTTTCCTAGCTGTCCAGCAGAAGGAGATCACGCAGAGCCCGTCCACCTCCACCATCACCCTGGTGACTAGCACCCAGTCGTCGCCCCTGGTCACCAGCTCGGGGTCCACGAGCACCCTCGCCTCTTCAGTAAGCGCAGACCTGCCCATCGCCACCGCCTCAGCAGATGTTGCCGCGGACATCGCCAAGTACACTAGCAAAGTGAGTGCCGGTGGGATGTGGGAGGATTGGCTTCCCAACAGGAACCACTTGGGTCATGACCTTGCAGGTTTTAGAGGGTGCTTGGGAGGGAAGACCCTGCTTTTACTGAGGATCTCTAAGACCAGACTCTTCCATTTGGGGCTGATGTGGGGTGTAAACAGAGAAATATAGAAAGGACTGACCCTTCCTCTGAGAGGGCTTAAGATTCTAAGAGGAAAATGACATAGAATCGAAATTACCCTTCGGCATTCAAGTCACTCATTAGGAACAGATTTTCCTTAAGCCGCTGAAGCAGGTGACTGTCCTTCAGTTCACAACCGACCAAGGGGTTAGTTTGCATTTAGAAGCCGTGTGGGACAAAAGTGACAGAGGCTTAAACACGAGACTTGCAAGGTTCCATGCCTGCACTTAGATCTTTCCAGCAACCAAGGTGGACCGGGGAGTGATGGATTCCCTCCCGGACTCATGCACACTTTTGGCATATTCCTTGTCGAGCAGTGTGGTGAGCAGACTCGCCTGCCGTCTGTTCACTCATGGGCACCCTCTCGGTGCAGGCTCTTTCTTCTTCTCTCTCTCTCTCTCTCTTTTAAAGTTTATTTTATTGAGGTATACTTGATTTACAATGCTGTGTTAATTTCTGCTCTATAGCAAAGTGGTTCAGTTATACATATACATACCTTCTTTTCCATATTCTTTTCCATTACGGTTTATCACAGGATATTGAATATAGTTCCCTGTGCTGTACAGTAAGACCTTGTTGTTTATTCTATATATTTATAATAGTTTGCATCTGCTAATCCCAAACTCCAGTCCATTCCTTCCCTGCTCCCTCTCTCTTAATTTGCCAAGTGCTTTTATGCTTACCGTTGAATTCAGGCGAATAAGAAGCCTGTAGCTCTCGGACTTCCCTGGCAGTCCAGTGGTTAAGACTCTGCGCTTCCACTGCAGGCTGCGTGGGTTCGATCCCTCGTTGGGAAGCTAAGATCCCTCATACTGCTCCGTGCAGCCAAAAAGTAGGGGGAAGAAAAAAAAGGCTTCAGTTCTCCTTGCTGTCAAATGAGAGTCCTCTGGAGTGATGTGCAGGTTCATGTCCGTAGACCACCTGGTAGTAAGAATAACCACCAGAAAGGCAGCTCCCTGGGAACGGGGTTTTATCTGTTCTGCTCATTGCTGGGGCTTAGAACAGTGTCTGGCACACAGCAGATGACTGATATATGGTCGTCAAATGAAAGCATGTTGCCGCCTAACTAATTCTCATTATCGGGCTTCTTAGCATCATTAACTCTTTTTTTAAAAAATTATTATTAGTTATCTATTTTATACATATTAGTGTATACATGTCAATCCCAGTCTCCCAGTTCATCACCCCCTCCACCCCCCGCTTTCCCCCCTTGGTGTCCATACGTTTGTTCTCTACATCTGTGTCTCAATTTCTGCCCTGCAAACTAGTTCATCTGTACCATTTTTCTAGGTTCCACATATATGCGTTAATATACGATATTTGTTTTTCTCTTTCTGACTGACTTCACTCTCTATGACAGTCTGTAGATCCATCATATCTCTACAAATGACACTATTTAGTTCCTTTTTATGGCTGAGTAATATTCCTTTGTACTACATCTTCTTTTTCCATTCATCTGTTGATGGGCATTTAGGTTGCTTTCATGACCTAGCTATTGTAAATAGTGCTGCCATGAACATTGAGGTGCATGTGTCTTTTTGAACTGTGGTTTTCTCTGGGTATATGCCCAGTAATGGGATTGCTGGGTCATATGGTAATTCTATTTTTATTTTTTTAAGGACCCTCCATACTGTTTTCCATAGTGGCTGTATCAATTTACATTCCCGCCAACAGTGCAAGAGGGTTCCCTTTTCTCCACACCCTCCCTCTACAGCATTAGTTGTTTGTAGATTTTCTGGTTATGCCCTTTCTAACTGGTGTGAGGTGATACCTCATTGTAGTTTTGATTTGCATTTCTCTAATAATTAGTGATGTTGAGCAGCTTTTCATGTGCTTCTTGGCCATCTGTATGTCTTCTTTGGAGAAATGTCTATTTAGGTCTTCTGCCCATTTTTGGATTGGGTTGTTTGTTTTTTTAATATTGAGCTGCATGAGCTGTTTATATATTTGGGAGATTAATCCTTTGTCCGTTGATTCGTTTGCAAATATTTTCTCCCATTCTGAGGGTTGTCTTTTTGTCTTGTTTGTAGTTTCCTTTGCTGTGCAAAAGCTTTTAGGTTTCATTAGGTCCCATTTGTTTATTTTTGTTTTAGTTTCCATTACTCTAGGAGGTGGATCAAAAAAGATCTTGCTGTGATTTATGTCAAAGAGTGTTCTTCCTATGTTTTCCTCTAAAAGCTTTATAGTGTCCAGTCTTACATTTAGGTCTCTAATCCATTTTGAATTTATTTTTGTGTATGGTGTTAGGGAGTGTTCTAATTTCATTCTTTTACATGTAGCTGTCCAGTTTTCCCAGCACCACTTATTGAAGAGACTCTCTTTTCTCCATTGTATATCCTTGCCTCCTTTGTCATAGATTAGTTGATCATAGGTGTGTGGGTTTATCTCTGGGCTTTCTGTCCTGTTGCATTGATCTATATTTCTGTTTTTGTACCAGTACCATAATGTCTTGATAACTGTAGCTTTGTAGTATAGTCTGAAGGTCAGGGAGTCTGATTCCCCCAGTTCCGTTTTTTTCCCTCAAGGCCGCTTTGGCTATTCGGGGTCTTCTGTGTCTCCATACAAATTTTAAGATTTTTTGTTTTACTTCTGTAAAAAATGCCATTGGTAATTTGATAGGGATTGCATTGAATCTGTAGATTGCTTTGGGTAGTATAGTCATTTTCACAATATTGATTCTTCCAATCCAAGAACATGGTATATCTCTCCATCT